TTCTTGTTTGAAATTGAAATTAGTATTCCTAGTCGCAATTCCAATTTTGAACTCAGAATTATGACTGAACTTTGAGTTTCAACTTTAAACTCGATATTCCAATAATTAACCCGGAATCCCTACTTTACATCTGTAACTTTGATCTTAAACTCTGATTTCCGAATTTGAAAAAATTTACACATTTTTTAAATTGTATTGTTCACTGCAACGAAAGGTAATTTCTTGTTTTAAATTGAAATTAGTATTCCTAGTCGGAATTCCAATTTTGAACTCAGAATTCTGACTTTGAGCTCAGAATTCCAATTCTGAACTCATAAATCTGACTTTGAACTTTGAATTTCAACTTTAAATTCGATATTCCAATATTTAACCCGGAATCCTTATTTTAAATCTGGAACTCTGATCTTAAACTCTGAATTACGAATTTGAAAAAAGTTACACATTTTTTAAAATAAAAAAATAAAAAATTTGCATTTTAACTGCAACGAAAGGCAATTTCTTGTTTGAAATTGAATTTAGTATTCCGTGTTAGAATTCCAATTTTGTACTCAGAATTCTGACTAATCAGAATTCAAATTCTGAACAGTGATTTTTTTTTACTTTAAACTTCAAATTCTGAAAGTTAACTCGGAATTTCGATTTTGAACTTGTAATAATGACTAAAAACAAATTTATTATTCTACTTCTTTTAGATTTCATGATATTTACGAAAATCAAAATTGGACATTTTTTTTTACTTTTTTCGTTGTCAAGTACAAAGAAAGATCATTTCTTGTTTGAAATAATGCTAGTAGTCCGAGTCAGAAATCCATGTTTGAACTCAAAATTCTAAACTTGAACTCAGAAATACTTAAACTCTGAATTCTGGCCTTAAACCCGGGATTTCGATTTGGAATTCGGTATTCTGGCAAACTTGAAACACATTTTAAAATTTATTACTGTATGTCCTGTATAATTCGTGATATATTCAATAAAATCAAGGTTAGAAATTTTTTTATATTCTTTGTTGTTAACTGCAACGAAAGATCATTGCTTATTTGAAATTTGAAATTAGTATTTCAAGTCAGAATTCCAACACTGAACTCAGAATTGTGACTTCAAACTTGGTTAACTCCATTGACTTCACACACAAATGTCAAACTATATTTTTATGACTATCTATCATAGAGGTTGCTAGCTGTGATATTTCTCGGTCACATTTTAAGCATAATTTTTGCGAGGTTAGGTTTTCTGCCGCAGTCGATTGGGTTTTTCTCGAAAACGCTGCATTTTCATCAATTTTAGTGAGAGTTTATACCCCAGTTTATATGATTTTTCTACATTTTAGTAGTCCAGTGCTCGTTAGTGGTGATTTTTTACTTATAGAATCATCACCTCCAAAACACTGGAATATTAATCGGTTCCTAAATTTAGGTGAAGGTTAAGATAACCTTTCACTTTTTATGTACCGTACAGGCGAAATTAAGTTATATTTAATCTAAGATACGCGTGAAGAAAAATTATATATAAAACCGCCTTGCAGGTGCTGGTATGGCTGCAAAAGATACGCCAGCAGGTGGGCGACAAGGCCACAGAAGAGCAGCTAAAAGACTTCATCTGGAAGACACTCAAATCTGGTCAAGTAGTACCTGGTTACGGACACGCCGTCTTGAGAAAGACCGACCCCCGTTACACATGCCAAAGAGAGTTTGCCCTCAAGCACCTGCCCGAAGACCCACTGTTCCAGGTAGGAGAGACGACAGTCTGCAGTGTTTTGAAAGGTTTACATTTTTTTTTTTTTTCGTAGCTGGTGTCTAACATCTACAAGGTGGTGCCTCCTATTCTTTTGGAACTTGGCAAGGTGAAGAACCCATGGCCCAACGTAGACGCTCACTCTGGTGTTCTGCTTCAGGTAAGGTTTCAGTTTTAACGGGTTTCTTTGATTTGAGGGTTTTCTGATATCTGACGATAAGACACGTAAATTTCAATCACATTTTTTTGTTTGTGTTCACATCGGCAGCAACGATTTAGCGATAATGGTTTAATGAAAATTACTATTAAAGTTTTATTACTTAGTTGGAACAAGGAAGGAACATGATGCAAGTTTCTACTTTATTTTATTTTTAAATATAGATATAGTAAATTACTACCAAAATATAAAAAATATAATCAATATAATGTATGTCTACTATTTCAAAAAGCTTAAATACATTCAGAAACTTTCATATTTTCATAGGATTTGAAAGTAACAATTTTTTTTAATGATTTGAGGCTTCGCGAGCCGGGTTGAGTTCCCGCGCGCCTTATCGAGGCTCCACGCGCCAGCTCGAGGTTACGCGCGCCAGCTCGAGCCTCCGCGCGCCAGCTCAAGCCTCCGCGCGCCAACTCGAGCCTCCGCGCGCCAACTCGAGCCTCCGCGCGCCAAGTCGAGCCTCCGCGCCAAGTCGAGCCTCAGCGTTCACAATTCTGTGCGAGGTAGTAAAAGTTGTCCAATGTTGTATTATTTTTTAAATACTCGTAATTATGTCCGCTTTCTTATGTCACTGCGACAGTTGCAATATTTTAAGATCTCGACTTTCGATATCTTAGAAAATGTTACCCATACTTGATACAACAAAATATGAAGAATATGTAGCGAATATAAAAAAAGTAAGATATAAATCTTAAAATCAGTTAATTGTAAACATTTCAACCACAAATTCTTGAACCATAAGCGTAAAAATCTAACTTGGTAAACATTTAACTAAACCCACAAAACCCAGTCCCATAAAATTTAAACCAATAAAATCTAAACCCACAAAACCTAAATCAACAGGTTTATGGTTTCAAGAATTTGTGGTTGAAAGGTTTTTACAATTAATTGGTTTTAAAAGAGTGACCGCAAAAAAAGCCATTTTTCTGCCTGTTTTTGAGACTGACAGAGGTGACAGGAAAAATCCTAAAAATATTCTAAAAATATCCAAAAACTCGTCATGAAAAATGAAAATGAGCATCACTTTCAGTTTTTCGAAAATTTTCCAAAATTACCCTTATTTAGGGGTTGAAAAGACAAAAAAATTGAACAAATTAAGAATCATCAACAGTTGTAAAACCCCAAATATGTCTATGTTGTATCAAAATAATATTATGAACATGGAAATATCTAATTTCGTATTTGATACCGTTTTGTCCGGATTGAAAATCAACCCATAATATCCCTAAAGTGGTGAAATCATCCCCTAAACCCCTAAAAATACAAAAAACATATTAAAAGTTACAATTTTTTTTCTTTTTCTTTTATACGTATATGGTTGAACTTAGGATGGTTTAACCCTCATTTAGGGGTATTTTCCTTCAGATCTAGTGATTGTGGGTTATTAACAGTTCTATTATCACGTATAAAAGAAAAAGTAGAAAAATTGTAACTTAATATATTATTTTTTGCATTTTTAGGCGTTTAGGGGATGATTTCACCCCTTTAGGGATATTATTAAATGATATTTTCACGTTCATAATATTATTTTGATAACAACATAGAGATATTTGGGGTTTTACAACTGTCGATGATTCTTAATTTGTTCACTTGTCTTTTGTCGTTTTAACCCCTAAATAAGGGTGATTTTCGAAAATTTTCTAAAACCTGAGTGATGCTCATTTTCATTTTTCATGACAAGCTTTTGGATATTTTTAGAATATTTTTAAGACTTTTCCTGTCGTCCCTGCCAAAGTCTCAAAAACAAGCGGATTTTGCGCACTTTATATCTTACATTTTTTATATTCGCTAAATATTGTTCATATTTTGTGGTATCATTTATGGGAAACACTTCTGATTGTAGTTTATAAGAGTATTTAAGATATCGCAAGTTGAGGTTCTAAAATTGCAATTGTCGCAGTGATATGAGAAAGCGGACATAATTACAAGCATTTAAAAAAATATATCCCAATTTGGACAATTTTTACTACCTCGCACGGAATTTTGAGCGTTTTCGACCACTGTGCGTTGGGTCGAGCCTCTGCGCGCCATGTCGAGCCTCCGCGCGCCAAGTCGAGCCTCCGCGCGCCGCGTCGAGCTTAC